AAAACTAATCACAACATGTACAAATATAAAAACATGTCAGTCCAGTTGGAAAGCTGTCTCGACTGCTTCTATAATTTTAACAAACAACAACCGCAGTAGGCCCCTGTGATGGTTCTTCCTTTGTTATACTATCCCTTAGAAAGTAAGCTTTGATGATATTAATATTGTATGTTGAAAAATGACGAGTCATCGTCATAATTAATGATTCACAAAGTATTACAATTTTTATTGATTTCAACGTCCCTTCGCTATCTGAGCTACCGAGGATCTATTTTTTGCTAATTATGGGAAAAGCATTTTAGCATTTTCAGTACTCATCACACACTATAAGCTGTTATGAGGAAAAGTCAAAGCGTGGCTAGCATACCCGATAAAACCCGTTGCAGAATTCCCTCTGGTAGGCAGTGAGGGTCCAGAATCAGTCTTGGAGCCCGCTGAACCCAGAGCATTCACAAATGAGCTACTGACGACCCAACAAGACTGGTGAATCTTTGATATACTTTTTACTTTCGCTGCAAGTAAAAGCAGATAATATCAAATTAAATAGTTTTAAACTTTAGATTAAGTTGAAATTATCTGTATATTGCATTCACAATACTATCAATATACCGACCTTAATTTCTAATAGAGCGTGATGGACAATAGCTTAGAAGTGATAACGATCTTGAAACAATTGAAAATTTTATTTATGTTGTCGCGTATTAGAAATACGAGTTTTTGTGAAGGATAAATCTGAAGGCGCCATTTTCAAATTTTCAACGCCGTTTCCATTTTCCATTTTGAAGGGGCCATTTTCAAATGTTCACTACCTTTCAACGCACCATTAAACAGTTTAAGTCACATAGCCTGGAAAGGACACCATTTTGAACAACCATTGTCACTCGCAACATTGTAAGCAAACGATCTAGAGATCGCAGTCCAATAAGGTGGATAGAGATCGGGCTCGTTTCACCTTTAATACCCAACTGAATGTCACATTGCACAGGTCCAAGGATAAGCACAGATAGCGAGACACCATCAAAGAAAAGTTAATTCCACGTAGTCTGCAACGACTCTTAATCATAAGGAATATAATGAGAGAAGAAGGAATTCCTATTATTATATACTTATTTTGAATGGTCTGTATTTTTTTCATTTCTTTTTCATGAATGTATAATTTACACTTTATTGAACATGTTGGTATACACAACAACAAACGAGGTTACCACAGAATATCAAATGTTAATAATTAATTTTGAACTTTAATCTTTAAATGTATCAAGGCTTGAGAAGGCGCGATAACAACATAAATCACTAACTTTCAACTGGTGTTTTCCTTAGAAGTAACGCCCAAACAAGTTGTTATTCAAAATAAATAAACTAAATAGGTATATACTGTCATTATAAAGAGGTAAAGTTTCTAACTTTGTTTCTTCGTTTGTAAGATGATAGCTATTGGGAACGTGATACGCTATATAATAATAAATTATAAATTACAGCAAATACACAGGATCACAACAATGAAAATTAAAGTAATACAGAGCAAAAAAAAGAAAACAGATCGCTATGTCAATTCATTTGCGGGATGATTTTTGCCTTCAATCGGTTGTATAAAAGATCTCCGAAAAGAGTCTGAAAGATTCATAAATGTTACGCAACGTTAGACAGAGAATATAAAAACAACATTTATCCTTAAGCTCTCACAAGAATAACCGCAACCGAGCGTGACATGTTTATTTTAAATAGGAGATACTACCTGGCAGTATCTCTAATAAGATGACATATACTGAAGTAGTCTTCTAGGATAAAAAGGATTATTTTATTTTTTAACAAGTTTTGTTTTATTTTATCTTCGACCAAAGATCTTCTGTATACAAATAAAACAAGCCCAAAATAGACGTACTGGTAATTAATTACAAAGTTCCCATAGCCACCTTCCACTTTCATTATTCAACCCTGAATATTAGCCTGGACTAGAATCCTTGTCAAGACAAATCAAGCTCGGATTCGTTTAATTACAGAAGTGTCATGGCTACCTTCTGTCTTAATCGTCACATTCTATATTAATGTTTCATTATCATTCAGGTTATACACGTATGCAAGATTTCAATATGAAATTATTAAGTTATACAACTAACATATCAAATTATGTAAAAGCTTATAAAAAGAGGTACAATATTTTTGTAATGAGTTTTCCTCTTTAAACGATATATTATTATCTTCTTTGGGTCCATTATCTCGAAGGACTAAACGAAACTCTTTTAAGACTACCCGCGTAACTGTCTCCAACAGCTGATTTGGACATGGTACATATTTGCAAATAGGTAACCCAAAGGTGGATATGGAAATAAAATAAATAAACGAATATAAAATATCCTGCTTTTCTAGGATAAGTTAGCTGAGTTGACAAAGGATATGAAAATGATTTACTTGAACACATCTTTCCACGGGTGACTATGCTAAGTAAGTTCAAGTTACAATATAAATAAGCAGATGATATTTAAAAAGGGATACAACATTATTACCAGAAAACCTTATAGTTTTCTAAAGTAGCCTCAGTAATCTTGATTAGCAGAAAACAAGATTGTGATAACTTATAATTTGAGTAAAGTGGGGGGCCAGTCCACACAGCGCGTTGAGTTGCGTTGTATTATCGCAACGCAAATACGCCGACGTACTCGTACTGTCGTACTGTCGTACTGTCGTACTGTCGTACTGTCGTACTGTCGTACTGTCGTACTGTCGTCGCAACGGTGACGTAGAGTTGTTGTGGTGAACAATCTAAAAAATATTGCAGTCTATGAATACGAAGAAGAATACGAAGTAATCCACGCCAATGCACAATACAAAAGTTAACGATGTGAGCTTTCTCCCTGTTAATTAAAGCACTAACAACTGCTGCATCGGCGTTGTGTTGAGTATATGAGTCGTCCACTTCGTCTCAGGGGCTGCAATCCGTCAATTTTGGACCTCTTTTAATGAAAGTAGCGCAGGTGTATGAGTATGCAATGTGACATAAATTCTAATACCTATTGCCAATATTAAAATACCGGTGAAGTAAGAGTCGGACTCACGTTGGAAAGACTCGGTACCATTATCTATAAAAAACCAAAAAAAATATCTTGCTATGTACGAGCGCCCTTAAATATTTATTCATTCTGTTTTTGACTTTTTTGTTATAGTAGCAACAGATATCATTTTTGAAAATTTCAACTGTCTATCGCGGTTTGTAAAATACAGTCTGGTAAATAGGGATAGACTGACGGACAGTGGAGTCTTAGTATTTACACACAACCCTTTTATCCTGAATTTCATACTTGTTTACTTACTAAAGTAAACTAAAAATTTTCAAATTTAAATTTAGAATTTATTTTAACGTTATTCAGTAGTCAGATGTTACTCGTATTAAAGAAATATAATTATATTCCTGTATATAAACTACAATGTAACTTGTTTACTTCTGTCACCTTCGTTAATTTCATATTTGAAAACACATTTTAACTGAACAACAAAATTCCTTCTAATGTGTAACAATGATAAGGAAATATAATCTTTTATAATAAAATCTTGATAATGTTCAAACTTTATTCTAATCATTGGGAAAGAACTTGTTTTAAAATAAATCACAAACGTGACTTAGATACAATCTTCTAAAGTGTCATAAATCATAAATAAAGTACTGTTACTACACTAGCAAGACGGCATCCAACTTTGAATATTTATGTCTTGATAAACGTGCTTGATAATATTGTCTAATAATAATAAAGTCAAAATATTTTTAAGTTCTCTTTCTTAATGAAAGCGGTGAAAAGGATTTTCGGAATTTCTCCCTGGAAATTCGATATTAGAATGCTACCCACAACTTTGTCTCGGGAATTTCGACTCCATTATACCTACCTAAAGAACCTTTTAATGGAATTAAAATTATTTACGTCTAGACTTTTGTTACTGCGTGTCGGTCTAAATTAATGAATCAAATGCCTCTAATTTTTGCGCGAAGAGCTTAAATATGCGAACTCATAAACATACAATTAAAAATACGGTTTTCTTTGTTACTGCGAAAAAATACTATTAAAAGCCATAATTAGACACATTTACAAAAGGTTCCTCGAGGGTCCTTCCAATTCCACTGTTAAATAATGACATTCCCGAAATATAGGTCAGTGGAGCATAGCGAGTCAAGGGTGGACCATATAGCGTAGGTAGGGAAACTGTCACGTCTGTGACATTTGTCATTGTTTCTAAAGTGGAGCATTATCTTTTGGAGCGTTAGGTGATAAACAGTAGAGTGACAGAAGACGGTCAGTGTCGGGACGTAGGTGACGTGTCCAGTTTCCAGCGAGAAAATCCCAGAGCAAAGGCAGTCGCGTCGAGCGCCCGTCGCGTCAGGACGCCGCCGCCGTCGCTACCCACCCACGCAAATCAATATTACAGTTCCGCACATGCACGCTTAATAGCCACACGTAAACATTTTATGGCCGTTAAAAAGTTTTATCGTGCGGTTGTAAAATACGAACTTTGTAAAATAGAACTAACTCGCTCTCAAAAAAAAAGTATCTGTCACAACTAATCCTGACAGTTTCGCGTCGCGATGTAAACAATATGCAGGGATATACGAGTAAGATACCGTGAAGAAACAGCTGATCCGTCTAAACAGCTGATCGTTTTCACTTAAGGTTAGAGCTTTAAAAGTATATTAATTAATCTAAAATTATAATAAGGTATTACGTTTCTAAATTCGGTTTTAATTTATTGATAAAACATGTCAATTTCGTAAAAGGAACACAAGGTTTTTTTTTTATAAATAAGAGCGTTCCATCGGCGCGTACGCGTTTACCCGATGTCGCCGATAGATCGTGTGAAATATGCACGCTATTTGAGAGTATATAAACGTGCGGGCTTATGAAGGCCACGGTCTGCGTTGACGCAGCGTCTCTGGGGAAGTTGGCAAGAAGCGGTACGTGTAATAGACTACGCGGTATCGCGACGCGTTGATGGGACCGTACGCTGCCGATATCATCAGTACAACCTTGCGCGCCCTGAGGACATGTCCGTGTTATGGATTACCAATGCATCGTCGTGTACACCGTCATCAACATTGCGCCACCAAAGCTCACGGCGCAAGCCTCAGAACTATCAAATGGCTGTATCACTTGGTTCAAAAATAAAATCAAGAGGTTAGTATTCCTTTTTGTTGTTAGCTCATTGCGAATTTTAAGTCTAAAATATATTGTTGTATTTAATGATACTCGTATTTATATATGAACTGCTGATGATTTTAGAGCTCTGTATGAAGAATTTTTACTTGTGCATTTGGCTTAGCTTAGTTTTAAAAAATAATTATTATGCAATGTTAATAAAAACACTATTATGAATGAATTTGATTACTGGTATCCATCGACAACAATAACCTGAGAAAAACAAAGATTTAATCGTCAAGTGTAAAACAAGCGCAAAAATTTGGATTTTCCAATAAATGGAAATAAATTAATTTTGAAATTTATTAACAAACTAAATTTGGGTAATTGGAAAATCAGAGAATCGTGCTTATTTCATTTTCAGGCGTTACTAAGGCATAATGTAGCGCAATAACGATTCGCATGTTATTATCATGGTTAAGGTGTTTTTCTAATTACTTATGGGAACTCATACATTGATGTGAGTACTAAAATAGGAGCTGTTAGTTGTGAAGGTTATTCTTTTTACGTATAAAACCGTTTATTTGCGAAAATGAGTTATTACATTTTTAAATGTCTAGCTTTTGTGAATGGGTTTACTTGCGTGGTTTTGGAGCAAAGATTTGTACCTTTTAAGAGCATTTATTCCAAATTCCATTGGCAGTATATAAATTTAATTGTAGAACATACATTTATAGCATCAAATAAGTTGTACATGATAAATCAAAGAAATATTTTACGAGATGTCTGATAACAATTTTTAAGATTAGACCGTAAATACAGGATATACTCGACTTCGAAAATGATATTGATATTAAAAAAGAGAAAACACTGTATCGTCGCTTTTTTAAAATTTTTATAAAAGTAAAATTACATTGGTCAACTTAATAGTTAATAGACGAAGACCTTACCTAAAAGCATTAGTACAATTAACACTTCTACCGTACGTAATTCTTTTCAAGTACGATACTCGAAAAGTGGTTATTTTGACTCTAAAATGCCATAATTTTACATAAACGCTCTTAAATGGTAAAAGTATTTTTAAATATGTTCCCTAGTATTAGTCAATAAGATAGTTATCCATAAAAGCTGTGTGTATTTTTTCATAAATCTCGAGTTATGAATTTAAATTCACATTCTTATTGGCGCAACTTTTTAGTTTAGACTTTAGACCAATAAAAGGTAAATTCAGTTCTGTATGTAATTAATCATTTTTAACAACAAAATGTATAAATAAAAATACACGTTTTATTGTAAAATATTTATTTTTGTGCCAAAACTAATAAGATGACATGACATACTCGTTTACTGTCATGACATAACTACATATTTAATTACACTTTTTATGCCAATATAAAAGTAAAAGTGCTGAACCGATTTTGTAAAAAAAACCTCAACATTGGTTAAACTACTAAGTTACTTAATACCGGTCAAGTGCGAGTCAGACTTGCGTTTTACCTTTTGGGTACGGAACCCTATAAACATCTTCATACTAATTGAGAACATCTTCCTTTTTGTTTTCAAGTTGGTTAAAAATTATTTCAATAATTATATCATATTAATAACACCAGTGTCATATATTGGCCGTATCTGAAACGTTCTACCCGAGGTTTGATCTTGATAAATAAAATATGTACATACTTATATGGTTTCATGTGACGATTCATTTCTTTTGTTTTGTTGCCGAAATATGAACTTGCCTATTATGAATACCAACCCAACAAGAATAGGTATTGTATTAGATAATACTTTAATAATAATGCTTCAGTGCCTGCGTATTATTCTTTTTTCGATATTTTTAGTTAAGTAATAACGAAATATTGGAACCCTAAAAAGGTTTGAGCCAACCCTATTATACTTAATGTATAATTTTGACATTGGTTATATTTGAAGAATATAGTGTTTTTCTTTATATACGTTAATAATATAAACACATATTAATGGTTCCACTTTTTTGGAATATCAAATATGGACGTATCAATTTTTTTTTATATAATTTTAATATATCGTTATCTAGCATTCCGCCAGCGGCTTTGTCCGTGTGATCATTGTATATATAAATCTTCGTCTTTATACTGATGAAAACTGCATTACAAACGTTTTGTTGTCTAAAAGATTTCAGCGTACTGACAGCAAGAAGCGACTTTTTTATACTGTGGATAGATCTAACTAGACAAGTGATCTTTTAAAAGCTTCAGATATATAAATATTCTATACATTGGACTGTATTTTTACAATTGATTATAAACCTTAATGGTTTTATCCTTAAAGTAAAAATCAATTATAGCAACGTTTTGTAATAACCTAACGTGTTACCGTGCCTACACAATACTTATTTGATGTTCATTAGCCGTTTTGTAGTAATAAATGTTTCATAATATTAACTTAAACTTTTTTTTAATTTTAACATTGGTATATTAAGTCTAGAAATTGCGACGTTAACAAGAATTCTTTCCTTAAGTAATTAAATAGTTATTAAATATTAAGATAAAGTTTGTTTGATCGACTTTTAATATGATGAAAAGCTTTTTAATGTTTAAACAAGCGATTTTTTTTTTCTAATCATGTAGCAAACCGGATTGTGATTCGAGAGAATGGTATTAAGAAATATAGAGAATCTCAAGAATCTCATAACCCGCACCGAATAAATTGACTTTTATACTATTGTCACTTGAAAACCGACCGATACGAACCGTTTGATTCTCCAACGGCTTGTAATCTAACACATTATGAGAAGCTTTTATTAAACTTGCTGTGTATGTATGTATGAAAATTCTTCTATCTACGGAAAGAATATCATATGCAGGTGACATAGACTTTAATTTACACAAGCGAAGTAGCAGGGAAACAGCTAGTGACTATATGCATATAAAAGCTATTACTTTTAAAAGCTATTACTAAAAATAATCTAACTTAGTTATATTCATATATATCTAAATATGTTCTGTGGATTTACATATAACTATCTACTTGATAATTTTATTTGTTTGATATGTTATGATTGTTTTACTTTACGTAACTGATTTTGTGCTCACACTCATCTTGTAACAGACACGTAACGGACCATATTAGATTATAGAGACTAATCTAAACCAAATAAAACCTCTGTGCCTTGTATCGTAGGTAATAAAGTACTTGTGTCATGGCAATTTGAAAACAAAATGTTAATTTTTAACATTGAAACAATCGGAAATTCAATCCGTGCCTCAGAGAAGGCAACACCTTTAATTCGGCGTGCGAGCTACTCTAACACGGAGGTCGGATGTCATAACAGTGAATTATTTTCATTACTTAAATATCACCTAGAATTCACTGTAACTTATGCCGAAATTTCCAGAAGCTTGCAGGGAAACTTCAAACTTTGTGTTGGTATAAATTTAACACAGTTGGAACTGTTCGAGGTTTTGAATGTGATTGTACAGAAAGTTAAGGAAAAAGTTTTATCGGTAGCGATTTTCGCTGTCGTTGGTCTTGAGATGGTTTCTAACATTTAAATGATTCAAGATTTATAATAAAAGCTTTTATTATTTAGATCAATTTTGCATTCTCAGTATACCAGTATAAAACTTAAAAATATTCTTAATGACAAATGCTTATTAATCCTCTTCATCCCTGGAACTTTGAGATGCCAGGGACAAAGTGGATCTTTTTGGACTCAAACCCATGAGCTTTCGCAATCCGGGTAACTGCTCTAACCACTAGCTACCCAGGTCCTAACAGGACTGTCGAATTTTTCAAGCACTCGTTACATGATATAAGAATTTTGAAATTCGTTTCATTGTTTGGCAGAGTAATCGCGTAACAATTTACACAAGAAAACATACAGTCAAATTGAGAACCTCCGCCTTTTATGAAGTGGGTTAATAACAAGTTTCTTTTGTCTATTATATTGGACCAGAGATTATGTGTAGACAAGACAATCCCGCTTAAATGCCATGGGATTACTTCGTATAACTATATAGATTCTATGGCGATCTTCCGAAGGTAGCCATGGAATATTTACTTTACCTTTTGGCTTTTACCGTTAGAAATTTTTTCAAGTACCAATTACTGTTGGTAAATGTTAGTAGTGAGAATAAAATGTTGAGAATTATTTAGTATTAAATTTCAATTACCTCGCACTCAAAACTATATGATAATAATGAGCTATATATATTATTTACCAGACCGCCATACGAATCTTACCTAACCAGCAGAGAAAAATACATCTCCGTATTATGTTTGGAGTTTAGATTTTCAGAGATCATACAAAATCAAACCACACAACAAAAATTACAGAAAATTGTGTATTTTTATTATTAAAAATTGACGATCGTAATTTTACCGAATTCCGGGCTTTTACAGTAACCTGTCTTTATTGACTTAAATTTAGTATCTGGTCACGGTTTCTTTTGGCTTAATAATATCAGGATTTATTTATTTTACTCAGTATTAATTTATCTTTTGGATATGTCACTCTCATTGTACTACACTTATTTGATATATTATTATATGAGCCTGGGTTTTATGGACTCAGAAGCAAGCTACTGTTTCTATATTCATATGCAAAACATGTTTATTCTCTAAGCTGTAGTCAGTTACTAGTGTTGCTATTCTGGCTTTGACAAATGAATTACCAAAGAATTCAAAAGACAAAGATATCTCCGTAATTATGTGGATTCCTCATTTACACTATTCTATGGGACAGCACGTGGAGCACCTCTGTGCGCTCATTTCATGGTCAATTAAAAAAATATAGATCAATGAAAAAGAGGAACAAAAATCATTCGCAGACTTTATGCGGATGTCCACCAGTGTAAATACGTCATATTGGCTCTTGCATATCTAATTTAGGGCGAAACTAACTTACTTTACACCTTGTAATTTATGACACGTGTCATCAGGATTTTTACGATTAGGCGCGTATTATAAATTTTAAATTTCTTTCTTTTCTTACCCTAACATTTCGCAATGTATTACATTATCCAAGTTAATAACATTTCCCTTTTATAATAATTAACATGAGACGTATTTTGCAATCAAGACTTTTGACATAATATTAACGATTTTTTTTAAAGAAGATTAAATACGGACAATAACGCTATAATCTGTCTTTTGATAAATCCCACCTTTTGTCTCATTTTGTCGGCAGCTTTGTTCGTATCAGTATAAATAAATATAAATCGCTATTTGTGTTACTAAGAGCACTCGAGAAAGAGTGGACCAACTCGGCCAACTCTTTTTTAAATATTTGTTGAAGTTCGAAAACGATTCTTATGGAAAGTAAAATAAGTAATTGAGAGGGAAGCAAGGTTATCCTTTTCGATTTTTATATTTCTGTTTTATATAATATTATGCTGAGAATATTTTCTTATTTCATGGTTTTGTAATATTAAGGTTTTAGTGTTTTTATTTAAGTAAAAGTACAGTCAACAACAAACTGTCCAATTTCTCCACCTAATTTTAAACTTTAATACACTGTGCGTAAAGTACAAATCACTTGTGGAAATTTGACATTTTGTGCTAACTTGAGGTGTTGTCGTGTGTATATTTTATATATATTTCAAATAATTAAGCGGCGTCCTTCTGTGCAGATAGAAGAATTCCTAATTAGGTGGTAAGGAAACATTGAGTATTAAAAAGAGATATATTTGTAAAATTTCTACTTAAACTAATTAAGCTCTTTCCTCCCATATTGAAATATTATCATTCATTGTTAAATTGTAGTTTAGTAATTAGGAGGGAGCAGGTGGCATATTTTTATCGATGAACACATAACCCTCACTTTTGGTACACTGTGATATGAGGTAAATATGTAACTACGTAGGAATGTGAACAAATAATCGATTATATCAAGAATCGATTATTAATTAAGTATAATAAATTTTTATCAATTGATTAATTATAACTAATTACAAATTACAATTATTGATTAATTACAAATATAATAAATTTCTTAATAATAGATTTTTTATTTCGCTATTTAATACCATACTTTAAATTATTTAATTAGATTATTAATTAAAGGTTACGTAATTTAAATAAAAAGGTATAGGTTTACGTAATAAATATTACGTAAATTTTGGCAACACTCGAAAAGTTGGTTGGTAAAGTAGTAGTCACAGCGCAGTTATTTGATCTTTTGAATAGACGGTGGTTTACAAATTTTCTTTCCTCGTTTAATTTCAAAGTTTGTTTTTAATTAATATTACATTACAACTCGTTGAGTAAGTGTGCGCGTGAGTTTGCGGTTTATTACTTGTGGTGTTTTGTATAAAAGAGGAGGGTTTGAGAAGTTAGAGGGTTTCCTTTATCATAAAAAATAATGGTACAACTGTAAAATGTAAATATTACCCCAAAAATTTAAAACGTACAACAATAAAACAAATTTAAAGTAGAATATTGCACGAAAAAATTCTAACGAAGTAAATTGTTTCGTTTTGTCTAGTAAGTTTTTGTTTTACTGAATGAATAAAGATAATTGTCGTAATTTTGAATAATAGGACTGTTTCATTAAATTATAAAAAATGATTATATTTATCAAAAAAAAAGTTTACGGAAAATCGATTAATTTGGTAAATAAAATATCAATTAATATAAAAATCGTTTTTTCCCAACAAAGGCACATCCCTATAACAGGAATAACGATAATGATATATTTTTTTAAATCTAATGATTTATAATGTAATACGACTACCTATTATCGTATTTCTTAATTGATTATTTTTCATGAGTCTTAGATAAGCCGCAGCTACATTATTAAAAGGATCCCCAATTCCCCACTCCGTCCTAAGCTTACACAGTTTTGGGATGATATTAATGAATCAATCAGGATAAGCCCTTCTATATTTTATATAGCTATATAATTTCCCTTTAACAAGCGCTTTGGGATTAGAGTTGTGTATGAGGAAGTTTGTAATGGTCTCTAAAGTGGACTATGGTATAATATGCATTTACAATGATTAGTAACTTCTTACTGATGAACGCACATCTATCAGGGCCGAAGGAGGACGAATAGAATTTTCTTTATATCTTACCAATTAATGACAAGTGATATCAAAATTCTGATAATTTGGCGCGTACATGTGTGCTGCTATAGTTTTTATGTTTGTATACAAAGAATTTTAAAAATCTTTTCTTTCATCTCGTGATACATGATCAACCACTTTACTAAATCTCATATGTTGAGAGAAACGAGTGACATTTCACTGTCTCTTACATATTTCTTACGCTTCTTTTGATCGCTCTTTTTATACATGCTTGCTAGTTTTTCAAGCATTTAACATCATTCCCCTATAAAACGCGATAAATCTAATCTCGCAAAGTGACTTTGGTCTTCTATATCTTTGTAATGTTGCCTTGTGAATCAATCTATCCTCTCGTCCAGGTGCTGCAGTCTCGACAGATTTTATGATCGCAATCTAATCGAATTTGGTCGCAAACTCATAGCGATCGTAATTTCACGATTTTTGTAAATCTCTACAGTTAAGTATATTGTTAACTGTAGGCGCGAAACGAGTGCAGCTGTCAAATTAGTGATATTCTTAAGTTTCTTAGCGATTGAGTTTGATACCTCGGTCATTAAAACGATCGCTACTTAAAGATGAGATCAGAGTTTGCGAATTTGAGTATTATTTCATATAGTTTATCATATTTAGATAGATATGCACAAATATTTCTTAGCAAACTTTCATATTAATAACTTCGATTACTTAATGCAAAGCTAGTTAAGAAACCCAATGCAAAGTAAAATCGTAGATAGTGTCACCGCATCAAACATGATACTTAGACCCAACCTGTAAAAAAAGGCAAATTAAAGCCTATAATGACTATAACTTATGTTTTAATTTTCTCATCATATATATTAATGAATGAATGTTTCGTCATATGTACTAATTGGTCCTGACACAAAAATTAAATAGATGTGTGTAAATTATTAATATACCTAATAATATCTATAATTGAGAATGTCTATTGAGATTTAAGTACGGCAAATACTTAAATCTCAATAATGTAAATAAATAGGATATGACGGTGAGTCTAGGCGTCACTCCAAAGTATCGAACAGGTATTTTAATGAATCAATATGACCCTTTCTCATGTGTCCTTTCCGCTCTGTTTAATGAATAGCAGGTGGTCCGGTATCCCATTTTCTAGAAAAACTCTCATTTCAAGCTGAATCTTGCAATGCATATCAATGTGTCAGCTGACAACATTAGGTATGCCATTTGTGTCGGATTAATATCCGTTTTTAACTGATTTCATAAAAAGGAGGGGGTTATATACGACTCGAAAGAAACCCGTTTTTAGATAATTTACCTGACTCTGCTTCTAATGCTCAGATAAAAGAAGTATAAGAATGATTCCAATATTCCGAATTTTCGATAGACGACAAAGAAAACTTATAATACCGGCGGCAATTAAATTCAAACCAAAAGGGGTATTGAAAATTAAATATTTACGAAGTAAATTGCTGCTTTCCAGCCAGTCTTTACTGTCTGATATTTTTGATCATTCTGGTCGTTTCTATTTATATGATCACTTTGATCCTACCCAAATAAATGACCTGACTATGCCATCTGTTTTATTTAATGTTAGATAAGCTATTCTTATACTAGTAATTGACAAATTTGTTGAAACATATTTCGTATCTAATAGCGCTGATCATTATATGTAAGGTATACGCGACATCAAGGTTACACAAATAAGATGGATAATTCAGAAAATATTTTCTATATCTATTGAAAATAACAAGCAGTAAGATTATTTTCGATATCAACACAATATAATACCAATATTTTATACATCAATACCTATAGTGGTACAAATAAAGTATTTACTATAACTGGGTATGTAATTCATAAAATATTTAAAAAAACTATATTATGAATGCTGTAGCTGATTAGATATGAATTTGAATTTAAAGTTCTTTAAAAACTCTAAAAAAGGATAAAAAATTCAATCTTTAAAAACCCTCCCTTAAAGGTGACAATAAGAATTGATTTTAATTGGTAGTTCCCCAATATAATCTTACCTCAATTATTTATTTATTTAATATAAGTATTGCTTTTATTTTGGAACCTTGGAACGTATCCCCTATAATTTTATACTAAATTCCATTCCGCATTAGCTCCGCGAATGAGGAGCTTCTCTACTGTACACGTAAATTTGCGATTGCTTTGTACTGTTTTAGATTTATTTAAAGTCACTTTAACGCTATAGAAAATATAAATATATTTATATTTTAGAGATCGAATTATTGATTATTCACCAAGAGGGGTAGGGCATTGATAAGTTAACGAGTGTACACTCGAGACCCCACTCGAAGCGGAGAATCTTATGCTACTTGAGTTAAGACATCTGAATAAAATACACCAAAATCACTCTCATTAATGTCTCCATGTAAATATGAAGTTTAGTCAGTTGTTTTAAAAATTTATTGCATTCAAACAAAGAATGTTTTTGGTAAATTTATAATATAATATGTTAACGCTAAGATATATCATATGTTGTGTTTATTAAATAAAATATTGTACTGTTCAGTTTTTAATTCTGGGATATAACTCAGTAATATGTCTTCGTAAGATAATGATAAACCATTTACTTAGATTCATCCAAAAATTTTCATACGGAGAGTGGATGATTTGTGTAGCTCATTTTCGTTGGTTTATAAAATTATTCCGAATAAATTACCCGCTCTCTGTATGCAGATTATATCGATAAATTTAAGTGAGGCATTATTTTAATTAAAACAAGTTTTCAAGGCTTTTTATTAAGAAAAAAATACAATTACAATCAATTAATAGTGTTTATGTTTTCAGGGCGGTAGCAGTATATTTACAGTCTTTAAAACTGACATCTACAAGTGGAGTAATTCAAGGCAACCTAGCTTGCACATACTACAAACAGGGATTTATCGACTTAGCTATAGAAACATACCGACGTGCGATAGAACTACAGCCTGATTTTCCGGACGCCTACTGCAATCTCGCTAATGCACTCAAAGAAAAGGGTCTTGTGTCAGAAGCTGAGGAGTGCTATAACATGGCTCTACGTTTATGTCCCTCACACGTTGATACACTCAATAACCTGGGCAATGTTAAAAGGGAACAAGGACACATTGAAGAAGCAACCAAATTATACAAAAGAGCGTTGGAAGTGTTCCCTAATTTTGCAGCTACACATAGTAATTACGCTTCGCTTTTGCAACAACAAGGTATTGTTCTTATTATAAATATCTTTCTTTTTCTTATGCAAACAAAAGCTTCTGTTAAAAAATTAATAAATTTTATCGTTAATTGTACCATTTATAATGAATCTTCAATAAAAATAACACTAGAAGATAAGACTAGAAACGGTTTATAAAAATGATTTATTTTAGTCATTTTAAGCGTTTACACTCTTCACAACATCATTATTTCAGGCAAACTTCACCAGGCGTTGACACATTACAGACAAGCTATAAATATTCAGCCAAAGTTTGCTGATGCCTTTAGTAATATGGGAAATACATTGAGAGAATTGCAAGATATTACTGGAGCAATGCTATGCTTTAAGAAAGCCATAGAAATAAATCCATGTTTTGCTGATGCACACTGTAATTTAGCCAGTATATATAAAGACATGGGAAAAATTACAGAAGCAATACAATCATACAAAATAGCTTTAGACTTGAAAGGGGATTTTCCTGATGCTTATTGTAATTTAGCGCATTGTTTACAGATAATATGTGATTGGAATAATTATGATGAGAGAATGAATAAAATAATTGCGATTGTAGAAGAACAGTTGAAAAGTGATAAATTATCTTCTGTGCATCCACATCATTCCATACTATATCCTTTGTCCAACAACGCAAGGAAAGAAATAGCGAAAAGACATGCTAACTTGTATATTGAAAAGATAAACATGTTTCATAAAATTATATTCAAGCATTCAAAGTGTTTAATTGGACGTTTACGTATTGGTTATGTTAGCAGTGATTTTGGTAACCATCCAACATCACATTTAATGCAATCTATTCCAGGTTTACATGATAGGACCAAAGTAGAAATTTTTTGCTACGCACTAAATTCAAATGACGGTACCACATTCCGCAGTAAAATAATAAATGAAAGTGAACATTTTACTGATTTATCAAAAGTGACAAATAATTTAGAGGCTGCAGAAATCATAAGCAGAGATGGAATACATATTTTAGTTAATATGAATGGCTACACGAAAGGAGCTAGAAATGAAATATTTGCTTTGAAACCTGCCCCAATTCAGGTTATGTGGCTTGGATATCCAGGGACCAGTGGAGCAGATTATATGGATTATTTTATAACTGATGAAACATCTTCACCACTAACTACATATCCTGATTTCACAGAAAAATTTGCATACATGTCTGAAACCTATTTTATAGGTGAACCGAACAGTATTTTGTGGTTGTTGAGTTTCCCTCCTGCAGGAAAGCCGCATATACACAAATATGCCCAGGAATCAGGTACCTCATAACAGAATGGAGTATTTCTGTATTTGTATTGTAGCTAGAGTTTATACACCATAATAATTATATAAATCTTGAAGGCTTCGTTTATGTCGTTTCAAGAAATTCTTTTTTTTTTCTAACACACTATCGTGTCTGTGTTGTTTCACTATTATTCACACTGTCTTACAATTAGTAGTTCTAATATATCGAATTCGACACAATAATCAAATTAGGCTTACGACGCTCAAACACAATTTAGGTAGCGTAAAAGAAATATTTATAAAAGTCTCCCCAACTCAAAATAAAGACTTGATAATAAAGCTGTAACTTAGGAAAGAAACCAATCACTTAAGCCGTCAAATATTAAGGTAGTAATGTCGTCTGCTTCGGATAGCAATTACTGAACTGTGAATGAATATTGATGTGTGCCCAATCTGACTCTCATTAATTTTCTTCGGCCGAAATCACAGGTTATTCACAGGTTTTTGATAATAACGTTGATTATGGTTTTCATACAGTAAGTAGTTTTGATTGTATTATTATTCAGCTTTATCTTTACCAGTCTCTATATATCTTATCCGGTTGTGATAGTACTGTAAAATATTAAACTTAAAAATAATTAACAGATGTTAGTACCTACCAAATTATCTCTTTTCGAATACTTAAAATTATTCATTATTTGATTTAAGTAATATGTCAATGCTTACTACTTAAACAAATTATTATATAATTTTTTTGTAAAATACAAATATTTTATATAAAATGATAACTTCATTCAGATACTCTCAAATGATTCGCTTAGGAAAGAACAGCTTTTATTTACAATAATACTGGCTAATCTGGTGAAATCATCACGCATTTTTAATGCTAAAAGGTTTTTTATATTCCTATAAAAATCTCTATAAGAACCTTCCTCGAACTAGATGAATATTTTAAGAAACGAAACTATCAAATTAAACCAACATTGTCAAACTTCATTTTAACATTAAGACGTATATAATTAACGAGTATTCTAAATACCCATTTAAGTATTCTTTGTACTGAGAGGATGTCTAAATTAATGGAAATTATATCTCAATTAAAAAATAAATATAATAGATATAAGAATTATAATCTAAAAAGCAAGTTATTATGTTATTCATTCATGTTTTGTTGGTTTCGTAGGATTATCACCTGAGCGTATATTGTTTTCAACAATTGCATGCAAAGAAGAACATGTACGTAGAGCACAGCTGGCTGATGTTTGTTTGGATACCCCACTTTGTAACGGTCATACTACTGCGATGGATGTACTTTGGGCTGGAACACCAGTAGTAACATTACCAGGGGATACATTGGCATCAAGGTAATTATATTTTACTAAATATATCAATAAATATATTTATGTAAATATATGTGTAAGAGTTTAGTTTTATTATTTCTGTTTATATTTTTATAAAAAAACATATCACACACACATGGACATAGTTACTTTTGCGTTTATATAAGTATGGATTTATTATTTTTTAGTTAATTAATATGCAAAATGCGCACACTTTTTTATCAAAGGTTAGAACAACTGATGTAAAATATAGGCTTGGCAATATATTAAAAGCATACATTTATAATAAGCTCTAGCATACTCGCTCGCGAGACATAGAACGGTCCTCACGTTTAGCTGTAAAAAGGTCTTCTCTCTGAATAAATGACTACGACTCGCGAGACATAGCAAGACGCTTGAGGGCGTCTGCGAGATGTTCTTTTCGCTGAGAAAATGTCTCAGACTCGCAAGATATAGCATGATGCTCACGATCAATTGTGATATATTCTTCTCGCTGAGTAAATGTCACAGAATCGTAAGACAAACCATGACGCTCATGGTCAGTTGTTATACTTTCTCTTAGTTAAGTAAGTGTCTCAGACTATAATTATAGGAATTTTGCCAGTATTTAACTGTTATCGCCTTCACCGCGTGTAGGTACTTATAGCATTTGTTTCTAATGTATTATTGTAACTCCTTTTAATGTTTGTCAATACCTAAGTAAAAAAAAAGAAAGAAAACTAATAAAACATGATCCCCACTTTACAAATAGGGGATAGCTGAAAAAAATTATTGTCTTTCATCATCAAAAAATGCTCATCATCCAATTCAATTTTCCCTAAGGTGTTAAATTCGTACCTATTAGGGTTTAGTTGAGCTGATAGGCTGTAAAAGCAGCTGTTCCAGATCTTCGATTTTATAATTCAATAATAAATGCTCATTACGTTAAAGATTTGTTCCTAGGACTTTATATCCGTATCTCTTAAGATTTAGTGGAGCTGCTAGGGTTCTACAGAAGTTGCCAGATCTTCGATTTTTATATATGAATAGAGAATGTTTATCATGTTGAATAACTTTTTCTAAGTCGTTATATTTGTTTAAATGGACTGCTAAGGTTCCACAGCAGTTGTTCCAGATATAAGATTTTTATAATTCAAGAAAAAAAGCTATCACGTGGAATAACAAGTGTTAAGGCGTTATATTCGTATCTCTTAAGGTTTAGTTCGGCTGCTAGGGTTGGATAGCAGGTGTTTCAGATTTTGGAATTTTATACGTTAATAGAATATATTCATAATATTATACAACTTTCCCTAAGATGTTGTTTTATAAGGGTTGTACATCAGATATTCCGATCTTCAAAATAATTTATAGGCTATATGTTGCCGAGGTCTTAATAACTATACAACAAAAAAAGTTTGATCAAAATCCGTTAATAAGTATTTCTGTGAAAGGCGAACAACAGACAGACAGATAAAATTTTAAAAACTCATATATTTTCTTTTGTAACTTGTGAAGTAGTTTTTAAATTACATTTAATGTACTGACTTAACACCCTCTACACTTTTATTATATGTATAGATAAGTTACACCTGACCCTTATACAAATTATGTTTAAATAGAATCTTAATTTAATGAATATTTATATATTTTTTTCAATAAAGAGCTGCTGCATCACAATTGAAAACACTGAATTGTACTGAGCTTATAGCGAAAAATGGACATGAATATCAAGACATAGCTGTCAAACTGGGAACTAACGCAAAATAGTAAGTACTTCTTTCGAAAAACGATTGTAAATTAAAGTTTTAATAAAAAGAAGGTATTTTCGATTTCATTATTTTTATTAATATAAGCTTAATGATAAATGGCCCGAAGAATTAATCATTGTGTGTATTGGTGGTGGACTAATCCCATTGGGGGCCTGGGGCGACAAGCACAAGCCTGACAAGAAGAACCAGCGAAAGAAACTTATCAGCATTACTGGATAACGTCATTTGAAGGAAAGTGTGTTTGTGGTCTTCCCATCAGTGCTGTGACCTTGAACGTTATAAGCATGACCATTGACCAGTAAAATCCGGAAACCTTGATTTGTGTTAAAAATACAAAGATTTTCCTATACAACATTTAATATAAGTTTAATTTAATACTAGAATGCCCTGTTGTATAATATACAAATGGCTCTCCTGTATATCATAAGCAAAGCAGATTCTGCTTGTTTTTAATAAACAAACCACCTAAATAGGCGATATCAATTATTGAACTTTTTCGGTCAATGTCTCAACTCATGACAATTCTTTTTTTTAATTTACTCACTATAATATCCACCCCTTTGTGACGATCGAAGTTGAAGCTAAAGTTTTGTCAAGTGCATGCATTCAGAAAGCCTGATGCATCAAAAATCTAGGCCATGCACCATCCTTCAACTACTTAAGCTCAGTAGCGCATGATAAATTTCTCTCCAAATAAAGAACGATACAGACATATTTTACTTATTCGCGCAAATTGGAGCTTTTTATTAAAAAGTCGCAGGGACGCCGATTTGTCATTAAGCTTCAAATATTAATAAAACAAAGTTAATGAAATTCCATTGAGTTATCGGTCACGAATCATTTTAAATAGATATTCTCAATACGTTTTTACGTTACTATTTTCCATTTTTTATTTTATAAAATCACCACTATAACTAAAACTATAGGTATATGACTTTCTTGTTTCCTACTGTTTCGTTTGTTTAGTTAGTACAGGAAAAAACAAGCTATAGCTATATATGCGACATAAGGTTTGTCTTCACTCATCCTGTGACTGGCCTCCGCGAAAGTTGCTCAGCTTCCGTAATTACGCTAATGAATTGTTTTAATTTAATTCATTACAGTCTCAGTTACATCAAAGCTAAAGTTTCAAACGCTCGTTTGAGTAGTACATTATTTGACTGTGATCATTACGCTCGAGAATTAGAAGATCTTTACTATAAAATGTGGAGTCGATACGAAAACGGCGAAGACAACGACCACATTAAAGTATCTTAAAACATGAATGGCAATAAAACAAGGATTCGTTGTAAGTAAGTGTAATTTTTATTAAATACTAGCTGTTTTCCGCGACTTCGCCGTATATTAGTCTATAACATTTATGTAAGATGTAGCTTTTATGTAAGTGAAAGAATCATCATGATCGAGTTAGTAATTCCGATAATTCTACAAACAAACACACAAGAAAACTTTGAAAATTGTCAAGACTCACGAACTCAGACTTCAGAGATGACAGATGAGATGATTTTTTGCTTATATACACTAATCTATACTAATATTATTAAGCTGAAGAGTTTGTTTGTTTGTTTGAACGCGCTAATCTCAGGAACTACTGGTTCGAATTGAAAAATTATTTTTGTGTTGAATAGACCATTTATCGAGGAGGGCTTTAGGCTATATAACATCACGCTGCAACTATTAGGAGCGAAGAAATAATGGAAAATATACCATAAATGTTACATTATAATGGCAAAGATGGACTTGAAGCAATACGGCATTGTCTACCGGTCAACCAGAGAGTGCAAAATTAATATTGAATTAATAAATCTACCCTAAAAACTTACAGAAAAGAGTTTTAAGCAAGACAAGATTTATGTTATAATTTTTATTATGTAGTGTAATATTTCACACAAATAGAATATTTACTGCTTAAGTCAAAAATGTAATAAGAGCACAAATTATATCACCATATATGTATATACATATTTTGTGTAGAGTTACGTTCTCCTTTGGGAGGTTTTCAGTAAAATTCGTTGCTTAATAACTTTAATGGCGTCCCGAGAGAGCACTTCGTTTCGAAACTATAGCATTATACCACATTATACTTACTTTTCCAAGAAGACAAAAAGACAAAATAATCTACTCTTAAGTTCAGAGGAGTAACGTTTTTAGTAGGCAACTTTATTCCGGTTGTTTCGCGCTGTGTTTTTGAGAATCGAAAGGAAAACAACCCTTTTAACACAAACACTTCATTTTTTAATCTAATATTTGCAGAGTACAATTTAAATGGCGACTTCTTGAGATATTCCAGCAAAATAAGAAGTTCTACTGTGTTAAAACTATTGACTAAAAATCATAGACAATGTGTTGCCAGCAACATACTGCGGCCCGGAAAAGATAAGGCCTTTTTTATTTTGAACTGACATCGTTACAATTTTATTCTATTTAAATACAAAATGAAATGTAGTTATGTGATGTGTTTATGAAATTAATTTACTTTTGTATTAGTAGTTTTAAACTAAATTAAAAACAATATGTAAGAAGTCTAATAAAAAAATTGAACAATATGAACATTTAACAGTTATTGAATAGAATAACTTAAAAACTTACCAATTATCTACATAGTTAAATACCAAATTAAATAATCATATCAAGCTTATTAAAACCTTTTAAAAGACAAAGAATCTATTTTAATATTTGCTCATATGCTTTAATAAAAGACACATAAGTTTTAAAAAAGATATGTGCAGTTAGGCGGACCTTTAACATTTTGCATAAAAATATTTTTTAAGCTAAATAGTTATGAATATATATAAATATGCTTTATAAAGTTATTTTCAAGAACTTATAGTATCTATTAAACTTACTATAGGTACATATATAATGAAAAGTTTCTCTCAATAAGAACAAAAACAATATGACATAAGATAAAAAATAATCAATGAATTGGTAACACACTTACGCTTTGCAATGACTTAGTGTACACTTTACCATCAGGTGTCTTTAATTGCAAGGCCCTGACTTTTTGGTAGATTGCCAAGAAAAACTTGCACCACACTTGTCACGGGCCATACCAAAGCCGGAGCATTTTGCTCTCTCATTAACACCAATGCACCTACAGTTACATTTGGCATGGCATTTTCAAGAATCATCTATACGGTATGGGCCGGGATGCTACATCATACGCGGATGATATACTCGTAGGTTATGCGAGATGCGGGCGAAGGTGGTTTCAAGGTGTCGTAATCACTGATGGCCCGGATTCGATTCCCGGTCGGTTATAAAATGAACTTTTCTATATTGTCTCTTCTATGAGCGTTGCGATGCCTTCGTTGTTTCAGATACTCCATAGTACGAGGGCTTTGGCTATTCTATATATAATGGCCTACCTTAAAGCGGGGAATTCACTAGACAGAAATGCCCGCGAACATGTCTGCAAAAATGCCTGCCAGAACTCGTTACTATAGGTCTGTATCATGTCTGCCTAGTGTAGGTCCGTGGCAGACTGCCTGTGATGGACCTACACTAGGCAGACATGACACAAATCTATAGTAACGAGGTCTGGCAGGCATGTCTGCAGTCTTGCCCGCGGGCATGCCTGTCTAGTGAATTCCCCGCTTAAGCCTACAATAGATATAGAAATGGAAAGGATAATATTATATCGATTTTATTTTCAGATAAATATCGCTGTCAGAAAGAAAATCGACATGTGATTTTATACATAAAAAAGTTTAGCTGTCCGTCCAGACGATGCCCTCAAGAGGAACATTGCACAATTTAAGTCATCCAGCTGACATTGTAAAAGTTTCCAAACGATACCAACAACCGTCCATAAATCTATTGAACTTTAAAGCTGAAAGCAGGAACAAGAATATTCGTCGATATTTGCGAGTTTTACATACACACAGACACACCCAGCCGCCGCGTTCTCATTAGCATACTCTAAAGGTTGTAGCACATACAATTCGGCATTGTATCGATTATGATTACCGTTAGCTGATCACGTGCTATCCGCGTGTCGGCGCGGCTAAGTGCAAGCTCATATTGGTACTGAGCGAGTTGCAAATACTTGAAGTCTAAGAGATCCTGATAAGAATGTGCCAGTTTTCTAAAGTTCGAAGAAGGTACTATTGTGGGGTCTGCGCAGTACATTGTTTTTTTTTGTCTATTTAAGAACAAACTCCTTTCTAATTTTAACTATTTTGAAACTCTTGTCATACATAGTCCCATTCTACATTTTTCAACTCATATCGTCACCAGGTATTCCAGCACCTGATCTCGGCTCTGGGTACCGAGTGACGTAAATTCTTAGTATTTCAACGTACTGAAATACCAAGTTTTAGAAAACACTTGCATATATTTGTTATTTGTCTATTTGCTATGGGGTGTGTGCTACTTCCCGTTGGCAGGCTGTAAGCATACTTGAAGCGTGCCGCCCACTTCCAAACAACTTGAAATTAACAGCTCGCCATTGGCTTTTTTAAACTGACATTATAAAAAGTTTTATATGACATAAGTTTTAAAATTTTTAATTAAAAATTCTTACCAGTCCCATGTATCCCGAGATTTAATTAAAAATTGATCAAATACAATTAAACGATTTAATTGTTAAATAGTGACAAATTAATCCCGAGGATGGAGCAGAGTAAATGACTGTAATGTGGTTTGTCGTTGGATGTTTGAAGTTAAACTGTTTCATGCGTCCACACTAGAAACTCAATTGTCGGATTGGTAACCAAAGTCACGTCTATTTCATGTAAAATATTTTGCAGCTCATAAATTCTTACACAGGATATAAAAATTTCCTATAAAATATTGTATTATCAAAGGTAATAATACAAAATTAAGAACGCCATTTTTACTACGAAATAACTATCTTTATCACTAAAATGCCATTTGGATCACTTGACTTTTAAGCTATCCATTAAATTTTTATAGCTGCGTAGATCATTTAAAAAAAGCTAGTGTATACAAAACTATATATGTGAAATGTTACGATAATGCGTGTTTGTTGTTGATAAGTAAACTCTAATAATTCCTTCGTAAGTAGTAAAACAGATTTTTACGATCGATTTCATTGTTTAATCTAAGAATATTAAATTGTTAATAGTAATTGAAGAGAGAGAAATGTTTGAATGTTTATTCGTTGTTATTCATTGTTCTTATTGAATATAGTTAGTGTTATATTTAATAAGAAATCGCATGTCTATTTCATGTCAAATTTTTAAGGTATAAATGGAATGTAATTTTATCGTTGGTTGATCTATATAATTAAAGTTGGAGTCTAATAAAGTTTTGTAAACACTTTGTAATAAATAAATAGAATTATTTGTCTTTAATTTACTTTTTCATTAAATAAAAATAAGATGCAATGCAATGTTGATGTTGTGAAATATCTTTGCGGTCATAAAAATCATATTTTCGGTTATAAAGGCAATTTGTTGACAAAATTCTGAAATTTGGATTTATAAGAAATAATTGACATCTATGTCAATTGTTGAAATAGATATCAATTATTTCTTTCCAATCATATATAGTTCGCTATGTATATTATGTATATTACGTACTGAAAATGTGAATAAGTACCAATTAAACAATATTTATTAGTACAGATAAGCAAAGTTCTAACGTTGACTACATATTGTAAGGGAGAATAAGCATAACTAATCATCATAATCAGCCTATTAATGTCCCCAATATATACAAGACAAAGGATTTACTTATGGATGGAATCAATCAAATAGAGAGAACGGCCCATAACTTATCATATGAGTACAGTGGAGATTGGTGGGTAAATGTAGCTGTGACTATCGGCTTAACGTGCCTTCCGAAGTTCAAGGAGCTCAAGATACAAATTTTTTGGTTACTCGTTCTACGATCGGACCATCGCAAACCAAATATGCTAATCATTGCACTATCATTACTCTCCACCTCGTACGCACCACGTGTATTTCATACTCTAAGACCTAATCACGCCATCTTGCTATAGACTGAGGAACTTTATATTTTCATATTAGTTCTCAATGCCGTATGCTGAGGTAGATGTTGCTAAAATAAAAAAAATAAAAACATCTTATGCTTATGCTTACGCTTTTTTTTATAAAAATAAATTCTAATTAATAAGTAGTTAACTAAATTTTAACTTATTCCTTATTTGTCTGTTTACACGTACTTAATCATTTTAAAGTAACTTAGAAATACAAAGACCTACATATGAACCTCAATGAATTGTTATTTGTAATTTTTTTTCTTCAGTTTTTAAAATAGGAATTATTTAAATATACTATCTGTATTTAAAATTATCGTTGGCTCCATTTATTCTTTACCTTTCTTTTTTTTTAAACACCAGTGAACGTCCTTTATACATGACTAATTAAATACAATTGTTTAAATAATAGCAGTCAGTCAGCAAATAATTAAATAAGTAGTTATGATTATTATCAATGCAGATTTTATAAAAGTGTGGGTGGACGCTTGGCTGGGATTCGAATACAGACGGTTGTACTATGTAAAAAGGTGTACCGCTACGTGCCTACCGCATAACTGTATTGACATCAATTTGATTGAGATTCGATTTGTGTTTAGGGCATGTATGTATGTTTCTTTATTGCAGATAAGTTTCTGATAGATTATCAGGAATTTTATTAGCCAGTGGTGAAACAGGCCCTTAACATATATAGATGTATAGGGTACCTTTTAGAAACCTTACAGATTCAAGCTGAGAAGTCTCTCCAAGTCTTAAAAATATAAAAAGGTAATATAAAAATATAAAAAGGTCTTAATGAGTACCACCCTAAAATAATTATTTTTTACTGTAGACTTACCACCATCTATCTCCTAAAGCAATATTGTTTTAATGACTAATTTGTACCATTACCTACATTAAAAGTAAGCTGTTTTTGATATTATTTCCGTTGGAGGTTTGTGACGTCATCGCTATTCACTCAAATTGCTCCATGGCCCGTCTTTTGACAGTTAGCTTTATTGTTTAAATCCAAAGTTGCATTTCAATTAGCAAATGTTTTCATGGTACTAATATCCAATTTGAATATTTGTTGTAATAAAAGAAGTGCTGTCATATTTTCGTACAGTTTTACATACAGTGAAAATGCCAAATAAAAAAAAATAAAGGTATAGATACAAATAGAAAGAAGCGTTTAAAGATATTACCTGACAGAGACGTCTTTCTTTTGGTTAACATTTTTCTGAAGTGTTAATATCACTAGTCACTATAAGGAATAAAATCGACAAAAAAAAAAATAACACGACTACCAGAAACGTACTAAAATAAAATAAAAAATGTATTATTATCTAAGAGGTCCAACGACCGCAATGACGATTTTATTTAGCCAAACCATAATATAACTTAATTATTTATTTTTATTATTCATGTGCATTCGTCTGTCTATAAGTATTATATAAAAAATGAAACCAAAATCTATTTAAAAAATGATGTATTTTTTACATTTCATTATTTTTTACATAATAATAAATCATTCATAAATACACCAATAATATAATGTAGCTAATTATAATATAAAACTGATTTCGCGAAATATAATTCTGATAAGTTTTTATGATACTATTTTCATATAACTTTAGATCTAATTGTTTAAAAAATATTACAATAATTATTATTAAAATTATTTGCGACTTTATAAACACATTGAATCGAATATGCTTAATCTACTTAGATATAAAGCGTATATTTAGTACATAGATTTTAATGACATTTTGTGCTCATGAATATTGCTTCGTCTTTATTATAGTTCCTCTTTATATCCAGTTCAACTTTATTATCACGATAATAATAAAGAAATATTTCGGTATTTTAAAATTTGGAGTTACAATCTTTTTGCTATCGGTTAATTCCCAATGCTATCGGTTAATTCAGTGGGCTTACGTTTAAATTTAATTTTAGTGGAGTTTAATTATGAGTTTAAATTTATCTTCTTTGCTATACTTATCACACTTGGTGACTTTATTACTATATATGTATTTATTCGTAAGCGGTTAAACTAAACCTTAATTTAACTGTGTCATTTTACTTTTTGATTCTACTTCAACTTGATCAGTGAAATATAGAATAAATAAAATGATTTTAATTTTGACTAGCGAACATGGTTTAAATAAGCTTAAGATTAACCTTTTGCGTTTTTATATAAATTTTATATAAAAATTATTATACCGCTGGTGTTGTATGGCAATTTATCTCAGCATATCTCGAACAATAAAATACATATTTATTATTGGTAACAATAACTTGAGCGTATTATTTTTATTTTTCTTATAAAATCTACCATCTATGAAGAATAACGTGCAAAAGTACTTTAAAATAATCTGTTAGACTGTACTGGAGGCGAAATGTAACACGTACGAGACAAGTACTTGAAACTTTATGACTCATTATTATTGATCGACAGAGTTAACGGTGAAGCAGTGACCGAAGAAAGTACAATAATGCAGACAATGGTATAAACATTCCTGTAATTGAAGAAAGCTACATACAGTTAACATCAAAAATATTGCGCAAGCTAATATGAAATCAAATCAGACTCGAACTCCACGTCAAAGTATAGACGTTTAATGAAATATAAACTTTATTTAGTGAACCAGTCAGAGACAATCCAGTTCAAACAGATAACAAAGAGAATTCAAACACTACGTTTTACGAGAGACAATTTCGTGGCTACTGATAGACATCATTAACATTCTAGATTTACTTCTATTTCAGTATCTGTGTGAACGCAATAGCAATTTGTGAAATGCGCACGATTGAAAGAGATCTGTTAAGTTTGTATTAAATTATTTGTTCGGCGACCGGACTATAGACACCGAATTAGAGTCTTATTTTATCGCAAAATATCAATGATTCATTGAAATATTGCCACAATCACCAGTATTATAGTATTATACACAGTATTATAGACATTTTCAAATTATCGATATTTACATTTACACCCCAAGAACGTCTCGTACGTGCCAAATCTCGTGCCTGCATAATCTGACATGAATCTTTTTATGCCTTCTGAGTGGTGGATACTGATTTTTTTAAAGTATTGAATGTTATAAGTGTAAGTCATATACGAGAATCTATAGCTAAAACATTACCGGATAATAATACAATTAATCAATTTGATTTGGAACTTAATTATAGGTGAAGATTATGTTATTTTTAATTAGATTTGTTTGTTGTTCACTATGATTATAAGTGTAAAGTTAATGACCGAAATAAAATATTTTAGGAATAATTTATAACAAACGCACACATACAACAAAAGGATATTAAACATAAGTTTCTTATATTAAAATCGAATAATAATAACTCGTACAATAGATTTTTTTGATAATTTGTTTCGATTAAACAATAATAAAGATGAGTCCTTTAATTTTATATTTATTTAATTGTGTAGTAAATATATATTTCATCAGTATATAATGCTATGGAGTAAATTTGAAGAGAAAATCTACGACACGAAACTTTCTAGTTATTTCTATAAATAATTAGACTGCATTGAAATTTGTACTGGTTTTTTAATATACTCTGAAGTGATTGAGGCACAAAAAATAGTTTGCGGGTAGATCGAGACACTTTTTCACGAAAGATATAGGTCTTAATCCAAATCAGTTATTGCTAAAAATACGATTTATTAGTATTATCTTTAATATCAATATCAATTACAATTATTTGTACCTTTCGAGAGAAAGTAACCAAATCATTTAGTGTACCATTTCCCTAACTTGAGTCATACACAATCCTGGTTATTCTGTTGAAAAGACAGCGTGGAACACACTGTCGATAATATTTGTTTCATTCAAACGCAAAGAATAGTATCTATTATCCGCCGTTAGACAACTGACGAAACGAGTGATAAAATAGATTTCAATTCCAAAACTCAAACCTTTCTTTAATCCAATTAACATACACATTCGACAATTATTTGATGTATATGAGACAAAAAAATCGAAAGATTGCTTGAAAAATTACACTTATGTTTCATATGATAATGCAAATATGTTATTTTTCTACTAAAAATGTCTCTCAAAAATTATCGAGTTTGAATTCAAAAATTCTCATTATGTTGGCAGTACCAAGAATATGCAGAAAAACAGTAGTGTGTCTTAAAGTATGACTCAAGTCGTGAACGGTAAGAAGAGTTATAACGAGTGAATCGAAATAGAGATCCAGGAGCACAGCTTTTCAACATAATGCAATTGCAATGGTTAAAGTATTGAGCCATCACTTTAACAATGACATTTGCATCGTATTTGTTTTAGATGAAGTCTTTGCACTTTTGTACAAATTAATATATTAATAATAAAAGAGACATAATGATTATAGTATTTTTAAACATACCTCTCTTTTCTGATACCTACGTTCATGTCTAATCATCGCATATAAAATTTTATTATAATAATTAAATATTTTCCCAAATCCTAGGCATCTATCGCATATCAGTATTTCTTTAATATCTAAATTCAATACATCTTTTCTATTTCCTTCATTTGGACTTCACTACGATTGTCTCGAACTTAAATAAAATATTAACACTTCTAACATTATTGATAAACTAATATTTAGAATAACATCATAAAATTATTCAATTAATGAGGCAACTACGTTTAAAACTGCAATAAACATTTTTTATATAATAAATATGAGTTTGAACTAATACCTTATAACATACGATATATAAAAAACATTAAATAACCCATACAATTTATATGTACAGGTCTCTAACAGATGGTTTGCAAATTCGTAGCTCTTTAATTGCAATATATTTATGTTGTCATTAAATAGTTATAATGAAATAACCGTTATTCACATAATATACTGTTAACCTATCGCAGGTAATGGTATCGATTTTGATTTTTTTGATTGGTATTATTCGGAAGCGGACACGAATGCTTGTTTTTATACTGATTTCGTTCTCTTCTATCGATCAGTTTTAACAAGTACTAACTAATTCAGACATTTAGTCTTAATCTAGTCAAAATGTTGACATGACTACAAAAAGTTTATTTGAATCGTGGTGAAAACAAATGCCATATAATATTATTTTCTCAAAATATAATGATTTTAACATTGTAACAGTAATTTTCAACGTCGTCCAATTTTATGAAGCGCGACATCTGTTAGAGGCCCTCGAAGAGACAATATCCATACAATTTATTTTCACAATAATATTATACTTCGATCCAAATCCAACAAAACCCTATTTTAAACTAATCACGACAATAATGTTGATTGCTTATTTCTATGTTCTTCGTACTAAGTCACTAATAACTAGATATAAGTATTTTTAGAATTTCGTTTCGGAAAGACAAAGCTGAAAGCTGAGTCACGCTTCTTGATACCTAGTTATAAATATATTTTCATAAACTAGCAGCGAAATCTAATTCTTAATCTATTTTTAATCTAGCAAATAATTTTAATTTTGTTTATTTAAAAATAATCGTGATTACAATGATTATACGGTGCATTAATTATCTGAATGCGCTTTAAAAAGTTTACCTAAGTATAAATACGTAAGTAAATATTCTAAAATGTACATTTCCATTTTACATTCCTACTTACAATTATTCATAGACCTGCGAATATCTTGCTGATTCTCAATGGTTTTTAGTAAATATGCTTTAGTAAATATCTTTTACAACATTCAGTTATCACATAAATTTACTTAAAAAAATAACAAAACATCTATTTTATGTACTTTCTTTAAAACATCGAATGTATTTAAACTTGTATAAAACATTGCTTATTATCATATTTATATCAGACAATCAAGTAAAAAATATTGGCATAATATGTTAAATATTCTTACTTTATTTCATAATTCATATAAAGCGCAAATGTGTTATCTAGCGTTCTTCTCTGAATAACAAAATTGTGCAAATCTGGGTGTATGAGATTATACAAAGTAATTAATAACAATATTTTTTACGTCATTATATTAAATATACATAATTAATTATATTTCTATGTATTTATAATAAAATGTATGCTATAGGCATATTATAATATATTATATAGGCATATTGAATTTGTTGACAACATTTTTGTATTTATATTTGCTTCAGGCAGTATGTGATCTAAATGTATGTTTTTTTATACAATATTCAACAAAGAAATTCAATAATTTGTACATTTCATTGGTGTTTTTGGAACTAGTTTATCGATAGTCGTAGCTGAAGACGGGCATCCTGCTTGTCAGATATTCGAGGGTAATTCAAAGTTGTTATAAAGGGGAAAATTATATTGGACACTTATCGCATACTTGAAATAGTCAAGGGTACGATAGCACAAGCATCAAAAATTCCCCATTATGACAACCAGTCCAATGCTCAAGGCTTGTCGCTACTTGGACGCTAGTTAATGCGAATAGACAAGCTTATAAATTCTAATGTAAAAGCATTGCATATTCTAAAGTGCGGGTTGACTATGTAATGAGACGATAGCAAATATACGGATAGAATAATGAGCTATGAATATATTTATAGCTATGATTTATAGAAACTTTTTTTTTGTTTTAATCGATTGTTAGCTTGTATTTTCAATTGTGTCGTTTTATCACTAACAAGCAATTCCATCTTTCTTTTAATAAAGGAAATTTTAAGGTACCTCCGTAAATTCGGACGACAGAGATGTCATTTAAAATAAGAAAAGTTAAAATTAAAATAAAAGCACAGGTTTGGTGTGTAAGGTTACATTTGAAAAGAATTAATTTAATATTTTAAATAATATATATTAATTAATATATATTAATTAATCTACTTACTATTAATTAATAATGTATAGATGCAAACGTGATGCACATAAATAAGCTACAAAGCTGAGGAATCGGGCACATCCACTAATATCCGAAATCAAATTTCAGGCTTCACTAACGGAACATAGCTCTTTAATACTTAAATAAGATATATTTTTACGTCTTACACCCATTCCCACATAGAAACTAATGTCTTTTAAAATTTACATTGTTGGTTATAACCTTACTTTTTCACGAAAACATAAATTAGCGGATGTCTTACAATTTAAATGATAGAATTACATAAGTCAGGTGCGTGTAAGACCATGGTAACTACAATGTATGATATATATACTACAGAATAGACATTGTATACACAAGTGAACATGACATTTATTAAGAATATTATAAAGATAACAAGTAAACAATGAACATGTTCGCTCGTGTACAGCATAAACTTTAGAAGCTATTCACTATTTTAATTGTCATGAGATATTCGGGTAGATACATGCTGGATAACTTTGTATTATTCGCGCATGCATGCCACTAAATGATAACGAGCTTGGCGTCATAACAACCAAATAATGTTGTAATAAAGGAATCAATAGTGGTTTCTGACGGGCCAAGTCCATTATGTGTAAACCCAGCACTCCATTCAGGTTCTCTTAGTACCTCTATTATTGCCACTGAATTACACTTACATCATTATTAATGAACACGTATTAAATATATTGGTTTAACCAATAAATGTCAATAATTCAGCATGCAATCGTTGAAGTAAAATCAATTGCCCAAGACACCTCGCACATTCCTAAGTTTTATGAAATTTACTAATTTTAAAACATAATGTCTAGGGGTAATTGAAAATCTTCGTCGCTACAGTAAAAATTAAAATACCTACTAATATAATCATAACAATAGAATTTGCAAAAAATAAACTAATCAATTACTTTGAACAATACGAAATTCTACTGAGCCAATATTTAATCAAGCAAAAAAAGTTGAGCATCAGATTATTTTGTTCTTATTTCTCATAATGTTATTTTCCACTCATTTTACCATACTACTAATAATAATTTGAAACTTTCTGTTTTGTTAGTAATTACTCATACTAACACTATTAAAAATTAAAACTGTTTTATGAATCCTCTATATCACAAGCTTTCGTTTAAAGTTTCTAAAGGAACCGTTTGTAGTTATCTATATTATTTTTGTCGCAGTCTAAAATTCATCCGATATTAAGGTCTATGTACTAGATCGTATTTTAATCTGACTAAAGCGTTTTTATCGTTGGAACTTATTTTACTATCGACGTGATGCCAGAAAGTATTTCCTACAAAATCCGATTTGTATGAATTAATCTCAATTTGTGTCGTCATCCCTAATTCTCAGTCGTTTTAGTTTCTACTTCAGACTCACAAGAAAAAAGATTTAAGACTTATACTATACTATAATTTTATTCGTATCTTTCAACTTCTAAATATTTACAATTTTTATTTTACTTTATGTATAACTTTATAATATTAACCTCTAATAATTACGGTTCGTATCTACAAAATTGGTTGAATCATTTTTTTTTTATTCTCATAAGACCTATGTTTACTTATTCCTCTAAATTAGTTGTGATTTTCATCTAGCGTCTACGTATGAAAACTTGTTATGTTGATCTGATGTTTCAAATTATTATTTGACTAAATTGTTGGAAAAATAAGTGGATTTTACAATACACCCTCTATTTATCCTCTTCCAGAAGAACCAGATCGTCAGCCACGACGTCAGACACGTGGAGGTAAATGATCCAATACATCAAGTTGAAGCACACGAAGCAAACGGGGAATACAATGCGCGAATACTTGTCAATGTCCGAAGGAGTCATCCCCAAAAGTTTGCTTATGTCCTGAAAAGTAAATGTTACTATCATGTAGCATTATTGACTACAAGTGATAAATAATTTATAGTATTATGGTCGCCAGCGTTTATACATACGTGTAAAACAAATATTAAAATTCGCCTTGCTGTAAAATATCGCAAGCTTATTCGCTTTGAATGATGAGGTTTTTGGATAATTAATGTCATATATTACATATATATATATATTTACCTTTCCTGGATGTAGGATATGTGGAGGTGGCCCTGGGTTTTCTTCTTCGGCACCTCCTCTGCCGCCATTGATCGTATTTTCCAAAGTGCCACCTTTAGAATGTGCTTTAGGATCGTGGACTTTAAATCGGACCTCCTGGAATAATATTTAGTAAAACTTGCATACAACAATATATGAATTTAAAATGTAACATAGCATAAAAATAGGAAATGAAATTACCGAACAGCTTACCGAAGGCCTTCCCGGAGGACAACGGCCTATAGTTCCCATCTTTGATTGAGTATGTGAATCCCCTACTGGTGGACAATCAACTGGCATTTTCTTTTCGGAAGCAATTTTTTGTATGGCAACAAATCTTTGTTTTCTCATCTGTATCCTTTTAGCCATATAACCCACCGTAGCATATTCTAGAAAGATAGAAAAGCTCTATTTGAAAAGTTTTCTAATAGGCTCAGGTTATGTGTTTTACCCACTGCCCAAACATTCGCACAGCTTTGTGAGAATTTAAACATAAACATATAGGACGTCGCTTTAGCTTATAATATCGCTTGGCATTACAAGTACAGAATAAATTGAACTTATTTTAATATTAGTAATTAAAATTTTATTACCTAATAAACTTGCGAAGACCATGACGAAACAGGTACCCAAATAAACGTCAATAGATTTGACATAAGAAATCTTGGGTAAGGCAGCATTAGTTGATGACATCAGTGTAGTCATGGTCAACACAGTGGTGACCCCAAGAGCAACGCGGGCGGGAGTTGCATTACGATTCAACCAGAATGATACCCATGATATAATTACAATCAAACCAGATGGTATGTAAATTTGGATGAGATAGTATCCCATGGACCGAACAAATTGTATTTCACATGCCAACCTTGAATAGTTTCCTGTAATCAGCATCGTATAAAAATAAATTAGAAACAGTACATGGGCAAAATAATTACGATTTTGTTTTGTGTATATAACAAGAAATTTAAGAAATTGTTTACAAAATTGAAGTAGTTATGCACAATAAGTTAGTGAGCAATAACCTCGATTTCGAAAATTATAAAATACAGTAGGTTTATAATTGACAATACTAAGTCACACCACTCAAAGTGTTTTTGTGCAACAATACAAAAGCAGGACGTGAATAGATACGTGGCTGTTTCTGTCCAGTGTTCCACTTTGTGTTGTATTAGTTTTTGGTCGTTTAACCCCCGCCTGTAAAAATACCTGTGGTAAGGGATATCTCCATGGCCCGCTGGCGGTGACCCAGCACTTTGAACTGCGGCAGCGACACCTCGCTCGACACACCGACAGAGTTAGGCCCCTCGTTCCATTTGTATCGGATGTCCCGCATGGTGTAGCCGACTGTGCGCAGCGGACACAAATATGAAATAACCCCAGGCCCATTTCAATGGGTTTTACATCGAGTCGTCAATCGGTCGGGGTAAGAGCGAGGGAGTCACGAGCTCAGTTTTGCGCGTCTCATCATGCGGTTGTCATGTCGTGTTTAGCGTGTGTGCTTGTGTCGCGGTATTATTCGTCTGCACACGGGCTGTGGGAGACGGGGTCGGTGGCGAAGCGATGGATGGATTGTGCCGGGACAGCGGTAATAGCAATATGTTACCTGTAGAGAGTGTAACCACTGTAGCACGTTGACGATGACCGAGAACCCGGAACTGTGGTAATTGCACTTCATTGCTCATGCCGACGCTCGATAATCCATCTCTCCAGTGGTATCGAATGTCTCTCATTGTGTACCCGACTCCGGAGACATGCCAAACACACAAAACGCTATCACTTACGCGGCGGAGCATCGCGTTTCCCTCAAGAGCCGCAGCGGTGTCGAGGATGTGACTCGCGAGAGCAAAAGGCGAGACTTCAATGAGTAGAGCCGAGTGAATCGCATTCATAAATAATACGAAACGCTCGTTTCGGTTCAACATGGATGATAGAAAAATATAAGTCTACCAAATTCTATGTATCTAAAGTGCGAAAAGCATAAATAAAATTTGATTGCAGAAAATTAAATGGTTAGTGCATTGATTGCTAATAAGATAACAAATGATCGTAGTGAAAGCGAAACGGAAATTATTCATGCAAGTGATATTAGTGCGGTTGGGCTGGTAGTAAAAGCGCATCAGTGTTGCGAGGGTGTGTCGTGTGGTTCGCGTTGTGCACACGGCCCTCGTGGCGGTGAAGAGCCCTTTAAGCGCCACCGTTCCCCGCCTCCTTTGGCCCGCTCAGCTATCGCAGCATCGCGTCGATGTCTTAATATCAGTTCTTCCGCTTTATGCTCATGTGAACAAAGGCTTACTATTTACGAGTCTGCCTTCTGCGGGTGCTGTATGCGAGAAGGAGACGTTCCGAGATATGAAAACACGAGGAAATCACAGCACGTGTCGACGATTAGGTTGTAATCTTGTGCTCACAGTATAACCCTGAGTAGCATCTGTGATACAAGAAAGTGGACACAACACAATATCTGTAAGCCTAGTGATAAATTTGCATCGTGGTAGAGTTAAATCAATGATTGCCTTGAGTGAGTACAATACACACGTACATATTCAAATAATTGCGATAAAAGTTATTTTTCTATCATCGAAATCTAATACATAGGTGTCAAATGCCTCTCTTTTAATTGCAAGTTAATATTTAATTTTATAAGTTAACTCTCCTACTAGTTGTGTAAAGAAATTGACTAACACGATGACAATTGATATTAGTTGTACACACAAAGCGTGCTGTTATTTGGAAATCACTTTTAAAAAAGCCATAGTAATATGTATAAACAACTTTATTTATAGCTAAAAAAAAATTTTGCAACATTTAATATTCATTGACGATTTTTAATGTACAACACACTTCGATATTAAATTATCAATAGGTAATTTGTAGTTAAGATACTTACAACTCTCGATTTCTATGTGGCAAAGTTGTCGATCCATTGGGAAATATTGAAGATTCATAGGGCAAGATGCAGTGATTGTTAATCTGTAATGAAATAGCAACATTATATATAAGATTATGTAGGTTTATATATTCATGGTTTAAGTAATCGCGACCTTGAAACGTACCTGATGCTTCTCGTAATGGAACCCGAATAGTGTATACGTATGAATTCGTTGCTAGTAGTTGCTATGTGAAAATAGGATTGCTTTTCGTTTACGAAGAAAGTATCAGGCACCCATATATTTTTAATAAATTCAGAGCCAACCGATAACGTTTCCACTCCGGTTCTTTTTTTGTATGCTAATCGGGGATCCGTCCAAAACTGTCTGAAGTAAAAATCCAGCGTGAAATCCTGAGAAGGAATGAAAATAATACTTTTCATATGATTTTGCTGGTTCATTTTATGATAATTTCATATTTTGCTTGATAAAGCTTTTACTGAGTCATAATCATATTACATTTATCAGTCGAACAACATTGATGTATATTTATTTATAAATTTTGATAAAAGCTTTACAAGTGAAAAATCCTCAGAAAGATTAATTAATTAAGTACCTCATAAATACAGTGTACTATTTTACAAACATCTAACATCTGCATGCTGTTCAGAAACGACTTCATCCTATGCAATGTCGTATGCATTGAGATGAAGACAGTGCTGAAGAAAAATGTAGATTGTACAAGTCAGAAGTTTACTTCCTTTGAAACATTATGAGTGGTACGTTACATCATGGTATAGACACAACACTACATCAAGTGGAGCGGTAAGCTTGAAACAATTATTAAAAATTAAACATAATAAAAATTGTGCATAGTGTAAGTGTGAAATGAAGCCTAATTAACACAGGTGAGGGCTAAAAATGAACAAGTAGGTAGGTGTTCTAAGTGGTTGTAGAGGGCAATGCGAGTGGGTGGCACCCACGGCTCGATAAGGCAGTCCACTTTTAATTCAAGCTAACAAACTGGTGTATTATAAAAGTTGCCACGAACAGTGTTCGGACTGGGTTTGTGGTATAAATTTAACGTTCGTTAATGAGCTTGAATCGCGGGTTTGCGACATGTAAATTAGGCAACTCCCCTCCTTGGGCCATGGGTCACGTCTCACTGTGACCTTCCCAACCTTGATTTGGTTTCCACTTTGGGGTCCTTCACCCAAATGTACGCCTACCAAGCTCACAGTTTGACACTTTGGAAAACCGTATATTGACCTCGACCGTTATTGTACTCCAAAAATATTCTGTTATTTCATATTCGTTGACTTTACGAGGTACAGTCACGAAGCTAATTCAATGTGTATGTTGACTAACGGTGGGTCATTTTATCGATGTTCCAAGTTACGAAAAAAAGATTATACGATATTTGGCAATAATTCTGAAGATACACATATACGTACATACACAACAAACTACAAAATGAATCACGATAAGATTTGAACAGTCGTCGCAAATCCATAGAGCACAAAATAAACACTAAAACAAAATAAATTTGTCGTGGTTTAATTTCTTTTCATAATATTTTTGTTTAAGAAAACATAAAATGAATCAAATAAATCACATGAACAACAAAAGTGATGATTATCTGTTAGTTAATAGGCAAGTATTGACAGAAGTTTCATGATTGATAATAATGAAAAGAAATTATTGAAAAATTAATGTATTTAAAACTGTGACTTGTGATAATATTCCTGATTAATTGTAAAAATATAATCAATGATTTTAATGGTATAGTACTAACACGATATCTTCCTTTCACAGAAAATAATGTTGCATACAAAAACGAACAGAATTCATCACTTATTTTCCACATAGCAGCAACTTTGGAGTTACGAGAACTGCCGGACACACAACTGGAAAGAGTTCAAGGGTTTTGCATTTCTTATTATGTTTGTTTCAAATCCAATTGATGTAATTAAACGTAATTTAAAAAAAAATCACATAGTAAGAAAGCAAGTGGACGGATAAAGGGCGATCTGCTCCACCAAAACGCGGACATGCTCGCAGCCTCGTGTCTGGGGCTGCTCGGTCGCGACGGCGGCGTGGCCGGAGCGACCGAGACAAGCGTGAGCTGACAGTGGCGAGTACCATGAGCACTTCGGAGACGGAGCTGATAGAGAGCACATACATGGTGACGCCCACCTCCACTGGCGGACCTGCAATCAAGCCCAATCGTGAGTAGCGCGCGCGCCTCGCGCTGTGAAAACCAAACCAGAGGACGGTGACGTGCCCCATCGCCTGCGAGCGAGAAGAGCGGAGGGGTCGCGAGAGGCGCGAGGGTGGGGGGCGTGCGAGGGCGTTTTTGATGTCGGGCGGCATGCGGACTGGCTGAGATCAGCACCCGCGCGACCCACGCGATACTCGCAAGATGCGAACGCAACCTTAGCCGCCGACGTACGCATCGCGACGCGCCTAATATATGCGATCGAACCGTGGACACGGGTGCTACGATGAACGGTTTAATGCTGGTGATATTACTAAGGGTCATAATCTTGCTATGAATGCGCTGTGTCTTTAATATTGCTTTGAAATTGTACCATTTTCACTTCAGACAGAGAGCTGATGGAGAGCACGTACATGGTAACCCCCACTTCCACGGGTGGTCCTGAAAACGACGCAACATAGAACACATCACAAGAGTTAATTCATTTCTCACTTAACATTAAACTACAAATCGGTAATAGTTTTACTTCAGTTACGTTGATGAGGAGTTGACCACAGCTTTTGTGGATGAGGATTATTAACATATAATGTTTAGTTATCAATTAAGTTTTAGCATTAATAACAAAAAAGTGTTGGAATGATTCTACGGAGGCATTTTATATATTTAATGATATAAAAGAACATATAAATCCTTCATGTTACCGTTTATGATTTAAGTAAGTCGTTTATGTTATTAGAACCGCTACAACGTTGAGATATGGGGCTGTCTGGTGAAAAATGCCCTCAGAGCTCTCTCTAAACTTTTTAAATTATCCGGTTATTAAAAAAAAGACGTCGGCATTTTGTGCACCTGCTTATGGGCCTAACAGTTAGTATCTCAAAAGTTTACCTTTTTCATCTGTTGTTTTTGAATAACTCAAAGTTATAATAACGTCAAATGAGGTATTAAAAAAACTTGTTATACTATGTATGGTTATAGACTTAATAAGCCAACAATAAGTTACTTATCGTTATTTTACCCTACTATTTATGTAATAATGGAGTAATAATAGTGTCTTAACTGGATTGTTATTTTTGTTTATATTTATCTTCTAAACATATTAAATATCACGTTATTATAATTATTCCTATTTAATGCCTGAAGTAGACAGATTGCCAATTTTAAGCTCATAAGGTTAGTTCCTAATTTTCTATTGAGATTTAATAACGGCTTTAAGGTCTGATTAATATTTTAAATTTGAAAATTTATATGGCAATGTCACTGCAAACTAATGACAATTTTAAAGCGACATTACCTAAACAAATTTAAAAAAAAATTGAATATTAATTTTAGGCTAACTTCGTAAATAAACCTTAAAGACCGTTTGTGCAACTGTGTGGACTGCTCACATTTACAATTAAAGTGTTGAACTCCAATTGTAAATGTGAACAATCCAGGAACGCTCTCATACCCAAAAATTATTTCAAATAGATATCATCAACATTATTCCAGGTGTCCTTATTTTGAACATTAGTATGCTAATGATTTATCGGTTCCTAGACCTGCAGAGTAATTCCGTAAAACTCCAAACCTGAATTCAAATTCACTCACGCGAGTATACTATGTATATTCACACTAGTGTAGAAATTCTATTGATTCTATTTCATGTATAAAAATACAAAACAAGTTTGATTGATTGATAGGTGTCTCAGATATTCTGTCCAATTAATGTCCAATATCATTTCGAAAATCTTTTCTTACACAAAACGTTAATACAAATTTAATGTTAAATGGATGTCGCTTTCGAAGCAAATGCTGACTCCCGAGTGATTCGTATACGGATCCTAATTTTTACGGAATCACTTTGCAGGTGATGACAATTACCTAAAGTATTATGTAAGCGTTAAAAGTAAACGATATAGTCTCACTATCGATAGCGCTATGCATTGTTTTTGCGAAGTACTATATTTGAGACACTGCAATGATATGATATTCGTTGTTTTGAAATAGGAATACATCGAATGTTTAATGGTTACAATAAAAAAAACTTCTTGAGCGGGTTTGCGAACATACAATATACACGAACCATGAGAATGAATAATCAAAATTGACAATAAGATCAGGAACATGAAACAGTTATATGGATGTTATATGACGCTATACGCCACTAAACCTATCCCATACAACAAAACAGTATTTCGCAGAAACGATACATAGTTCTATGGGTAGCGATATGTATCGTTTAATTTCGCTATCGTCTATACTCGGGTCATTGTTTATTATTTCATATTTCACAAACATTACAACATTATCATGTCAACAGTTGTTCGGGCTTGAATGTCATTGACTTATTAACATAAATTGACCAGTTAAGAGATATTCAAGATTAATTTTATTCCTGGCTGATTGGCACAACATGATTTTTTACGTAGCAATTTTTTTTCTGGTTTGCTTCTAAAACATTTCATAAAACCTATAATAATTTATGGTTATATAATTAAATACTTGCTCCCAAAATTCAGGTTGACCCTAGTTTGAGGGATGTGGATCATATAACTATATATTACGTAATCACTTTATAATCGATTACATAGTCACCCCTGTCTGTAGTTTTAAGAGTGTAATAAATATTGTTATTTATATTTCAAGAGTTTGCTTCTATCAGCTGTAAAAATATATTAACCATTATTTATGACAAAAATGAATGTACCTATCCCAAAATATAGGAATTACTCAGTCAAAGGAATATGGTCAAAATAAGTTTCTAGTATCAGTGTTTATCATATATGTGAGTACATCAAACAGATTGAAGCTTCTCAAGTATCCATCCAAATATTTACCTTAGCTTACTTACCAAACTCCTTGAAAGAGAAACAAAACTTAGAATTGTTTGTATGAAAACATGTGAAACACATACAAGACCCTGTATTCCTAAAGGTTTACGTACGGACGCACGGTACCAACGGATCGTGCGGATTTGCTAATGCCTATATAATACAGATTCTTTATAGTAAGTACGACTAGCATTTTTGTTCCTATAATGTGTACGGTCAATGCGGCCGATATGAATAAAAGACAGAGTGCTATTCAAATTCATATAGAGCTATGGAAAATTCGTTGTGTACCACGCGTCTTAAAATTGACATATCGACAAATGGCCGTTTCGTCGGCTATCCTGCTTTATTTGTAAGTTTCTAGAGTGTTCATACGTATATATAAAGGGTGTCTCAGCGCCGATTTTAAACTTTAAATATTTATTAAAAAAAAACAAATTGTATTTGAAATATTTTAATTGCAGTAAATTATATTGTATTGTCGCGGATTTTATGTATAGAATATTACACTGTCAAGATGTCTTCCATCATGGCGAATGCACTCTTCAAAGCGGACAAGCGAATTTGCAGAGACACGCCGCAGAACGTCAACTGATATGGCTCTCACTTCTGTCGTTATTTTAGCTTTCAACTGCTCCAAACTCGTAAGAGGGGTACCATAAGGAGTTCCTTTGAGATAACCCCATAAAAAAAGTCAGCTGGAGTTAAGTCAGGAGATCTGGGTGGCCACAATATGTCTCCAAAGCGGCTGACGATTTTACCCGGAAACAACGCTTTTAGAGTGTCCATGGAGACCCTAGCTATGTGGGCTGTGGCCCCATCTTGCTGAAACCACACACTTGACTTGTCAATATCCTCTTCTTGCAGCTGCGGTACAAAAAAATTAGTAATCATATCAATATATCGCTCGCTCGTTACGGTAACCGTTGCACCTCGGTCATTCTCGAAGAAAAATGGCCCGATGATTTTCTTCGCCGATATTGCACACCATACAGTAACTTTGGGGCTGTGTAATGCTTTCTGATGTTTTTCTTTTGGGTTGCTTGATGACCAGTAACGGCAATTTTTACGATTGACGTACCCTTCGAGGTGAAAATGTGACTCATCACTAAAGTAAACATTGTCGATCCCATTTTCCACTTAAAAAATCTCTAACATCTTCTGACAGTAAATTTTTCGCTGGTTTTTATTCTATTTGGATCATGTAAGGATGTAATTTTAAGTCTAAGGTCAAAATTCGTTGAAGACTTGAACGTTGGAGGCTCAAAGAGGCAGCATGTTTTCTAACTAAACGTCGTGGATGCTCCGCGACCGCAGCGGTGACGCGATCGATCGCACAGGTCTATTTCAGAGGCGAATTGAATGATTCAGTAAACATCCTGTCGCTCTAAACTTTTCTATCCACGACTTAATTAATTGAATACTCGGGGCGTCACTTAAACGGTGGATTTCAAAGCGATTACAAAATTTGCTCTGTGCTTCACTCAACGAAAACTCATTGCAAAAGTACGCCTCTACTGCGTACGCGCGGTGCGCGACAGACCATTGCGACATGGCGACTAACAAATCCGCACTCGTCACCAACCGAACGCTACTACTCCCCTCCCGCTAGCCCCGCAGGCTCCCGACAAATTCGTGTTTAAAGTCTAAAATCGGCGCTGAGACACCTTAAAGTTTGTCTGATGAATTGCAAGTACTTAGAAAACCTACAAAAAACCAATTGTCAATGAAATTATCTATGAAATGCATAGTCGGAACTTCCTTTTGAACGTAAATATTAAATTAAAATAAAATATTTGGTGCAATGTGATAGACATAGGCTCTATTTTGACTTTGTAATTCCTTTAAATTTGGCTACTTATATCTAAATGTTTCAAGACTCAAACTTGCCACGCGGAGAAAAGAAAATTATAATTTTAGACCACCCTTAAAATCAACACCCTTAAATGTGTTCAAGTTAGTTTATATAAAATATTGTGTCCGATATCATGTTCTAGTTGCAACTGCCCGTAGTGTGCGAAACAATGCCTCGTAGGCGCTCGTTTTCTTTCTTAGTATGTCCAGAATAATATTGCAATGTAGGCCAGCATTATTTTTAAAAAGAACATTTGAATACTTTTATTAAAAATTTAGCTGCTTAAGACACTTCGATCTATATTAAGATGATTGTGATTACCATCTTATTGTATTCTATCTCCGTTTTTATCAATCGTTTTATACGGACCCGGAGATCTCCAGCGAAACTTTTTTCATTATATTATTCAAGTGTGTATCTTTAGAAGATACATTCTTCTCGCGTGTAACCGCTACCTATATATTTGTTATGTCATCGTTTGACCATTAATCCACTCCACACAACGAAACCATCTAAGCATCCTTTTCCATTCTCTCGTGTCTCTCGCGGGGGCATTCAAAAAATTCTATCTTTTACGAACATGCTTATGTACTGCCCTAATACATCAATTGAATAGGCCTCATCCTAGTTGGTTGATGACAAGTTTTATTTTCTTTAGAATTGTGTGTATAAAATTCTAGCGTACTTTTAATGTTATATTACTGTGTGTATTATCAATAAATAGACATCATAGTTACACGAATAACTAAATATTGGATATCAAAATTTCATACTTATTAGTACTAACAATTAATTGCTCACCAAATCTGTAACGTATTAATATGATAGACAATTTCGATATCAACAGTTTATGTAGTTAACTAAAGTCGATTAAGCAATACTTAATTTAATTTAACTAAAATAAAGTTAACTGAAACAGGAGCATATTCCAAAATATGAGACACGAAAATCGGAGAATATTTTGTCTATTGACAGTAAGACAGATTTCGAATTAAAAAATTATGATCGGGCAATATGCTTTGTTAGATTTTTTAAATTTGTAATTATTAAATTTTAAAGTGTATTTAAAATAAAATTAACGGTGTCTGATTAATGTATTTCGCAGAAGATCTTAATACTATATGTAAAAAGTAAATTTAGAAGTAATATACTGACCTCCATAGTTGGGCCTTACTCTTTTGTCGTAACTTATACTAAACGAATCCAAAATGGCTGATATATTAACGTCTCCGAACATGCCACCCCCACCGGCACCCCTGCAAAACAAACACATTTTATTATAATGACAATCTGGAACGGTGCTGACGATGACACATCAAATAAAATGCTAACGAGAAATTGGGAATGTTGAAGTTATTTATTCGTAAGAGTTACTATCGTTCTTCACATCAAAACACATTTGTATCGTTGAATATGGACTTATTTGAATTGCGCACGTATCATTATTCACCATATCATCGCCAGCCTATTAATGTTCGTGGGGACGTTACCGATTTTAATTTTTCAACTATCAGTTGATAGCAACTCGATAAAACTAGTACTTTTTGCCGTGTCAAAAGTTGAGAATTTTCAGTTGATATTTTGTACTTTTCCCAATTCAGAAACTGGCCGCAAATGAAGTTTAAGTACAGTTGGGCACGTTCTTAACTTTAATTTCTCAATTCAGAAACCGGATAAAAGACTATCTTTCACATATCGTACAATTTAACTTGTCATTTTTCACGAGCAATGATTTTTGATTACAATGAATGTATTGTCACAGCTTATATTTGTAGATGTTAAAAAATGTGCGATCATCGAAAAGGAAATCATGGGTATACATTTTTCTATATTAATAACAATATTACCTAAAGCAACGATCAATTAATCTAATCCTTTATATATTTATTTGATCACTTAAATATGTTGAGTATTAAAACTGTATGTATTGATATTTGTCTAGCTAACCGGAAATTATTATAAAAAAATCGTGGTGAAAAGCTAAAACTCTCTTTCTACATCAATATTTATTTGCTTAGGGTTGATCATATGCCTTCACAAGCTCCCTTTGGCCTGATTTGGAAGTTGATATCGATGATATCACTTTAACGTACTTTTGAAAACGGAAAGTAACTCTAGTACCTATATAAATATAAGTTACACAATTCAGCTTATTTGAAAATTCAGCCGTGGGCTCACATTATTTGTATATCTTCATCTCAATCATATATTTACATTTATACTTTATTTCTAAAGCTTTATAAAAAAGAAAGAGTACAACTGTATGAAAATTATGTAAAAATGTATAATGTGTAAATAAAGTGTATAAATATGTAAATTGATAAAATTTGCAAATTACAACAAATACTAAATAAAACAATATAATAAAAAAGTGAATTTTTAATACATATTTATTTTTTAATATTATTTCAGTAGAGTGAACTTTAAATATCGCTGTTCATTTTATTGGAGTGCAAAAAGCCGCAGTGAAATGAAAGGATTTTACATTCCAGCACTTTTAACGTTTAAATAAATTGAAGCTTATTTTTGATTCAACATAACATCAGGTTGACTTAACTTGTAACGTTAAAATAAATAATATTGGCGGCACGGGTTATTTATATCAAAAAACATTAAATTATTGAGATATATTTATGTAAATGTGTTCTGGATGAACGTTTAATAAAATATAATTTATTTTCAGAATGAGCAAATTTTTACCGAATCACGTCTTTTCGATCTATAGACATTCGATAATTTTGCAAAAAAAAATGTGGTTCAGTTTGGGTAATGTACTAGGGTTATGTTTCCTTTCTGATTATGGGGCGGCGCAATAAATGGTCTTCGGGCTGTCCCCATGCTTCGCTTCGATAGAGAGGGACATCGCTAGGTTTTAGTGGGTATGCCCCTGCTATTTGATTATCCTTCTCCTGATTATCCGGTTTGGGGTGAAACCGCAGGGTGGAGTCCCACATAACCCGTAATGAATTTCCTAACGTCAAAAAAGTTTTTATTCCGAAATGTTGAATAATTTGAGGATTATTAAACAAATTTTTGGAAAATCTTTAAAATAGATATCCGATGGTGACAAGTCACAAGATGTTAGTGCCATATTGAAAGTGCTTTTCTATAAAATTATTCAATCACCAAATTCTCTTTCAAGAGATTTAATGTTTCTTTCGCTGGTAATATTGCGACATTTTGTGGAAACCCCATATTCTACATATCGATATGGTATCTTTTAACAAAGAAAAAGATTGTAACTAAAAAAAAGACAAAATTTTGTTTACATAAAAACCATAATAACGCAAACGTTTTGTAAACTTCAAAATTTCCTAATATTTAAATATATTCTTAATGAAAAATCTATGAGATGAAACTCGAACCCCCAACCTTTTGCAATCCGGGCGATCGCTTTAACCACGAAACTGCCCAGGACCCCACAGGACTGAAGAGTCTTTTAAGCACCTGTTACTTTTCGTCACTAGTAAGCGTATTTTCATCATGTTCACAGGCAATTCAGGAAAGTTATTGATACATCTGTTAAAAATGGTTTTAGACTGTAAATAACTTTATTTTACCCTTTCAGTGAAGAGAGAGCTTGTAGAAACTTCATAACTGATAATGTACACCCGAGTGCATTGTCTGAACTCGTATCAAAACCTCTGGGGAAAAGCCGATGCATAGTTTCCATTTCATATATTATTCTGCTTTGAAGATCGTTTACTGTCAATTGTAACCGAATGTTAACATTTCATTTTTCACATATACATTCGAAATTATGAAATTTGAACTATAGGATATAGGAAATAAATTCTATTTTTGATAACTAGGCACAATATTGACGACTGTAAATTAAAACTGCCGATTATATAACACTGTAATTCCATATAAACAACGGTAACGAGATATAACACTACCCGTGATAATCATGATTGGATCCAAATAACGTAATGAAATTGACATACCTATTATAAAACGATGAACAATAGTAGATGTTTCCGCTCGCCAATAATGGTCATAATATGACGCTATTGCTCAATGCAGATTGATTGTTCGAATAAAAAATGTTAATAGAATTATAAAATAAAAGTTTATATATTAGAAAAATTACAAATATAATGGTCGTTTCTGATTTTAGCTTTATTGATGATCGATTTCTGCTGTTTGATAAATTGCCTTGTGAAACGTATAAAAAACTTAAGTTATTGAGAATAATAATTTGAGAATATGTACTATTCTTAATTCAGAAGCCGGCCTGACAGTTATATTTCCCGATTGTTTTTCTGACTAAATAAAGCTTAATTCAATTTCGATATTTATTAAATGGTACCTAGTGGTAATAGTATCAATTTTTGTGTGATTTTTTTATATTTATATTTGAAAGGTTATATTCGCAAGGGCTGTTGGATCCATAGTTCATTTGTTAATTTAGTAAGTTTATATTTCGTTTTTCTCACACAAATATTATTTAATATTAATAAATATATATATATATATTCTTATTGGTTGGTACAAAAATGGTTAACGTATTCAGGAAACCCCACATGAAGTCGAGCAGGAAAAGTATTGCAGCTTCAACCCTTTTAGAGTTTGAAAGAAGTCATAACCATTAAGATATTATTACGTTTAATAAAACCAGTCTATAATTTAATATGCTAATTTGAAATGCATTCTGTTTGCGTCTTCACGTCCAAGTCTCAAGAGCTATTCACTTAAGAATATTTGTAGCGAGAAAGTTTAAACGCCTGATCATAAGCGGTGGAAAAGTGCCATAATTTGTCGAGTGCCTCGATGGCGCTCCAACAATTTTCGATAAAACACTCCATTGGTGAGTGTGCTTCAATGTTTTCAATTAACTTTTCACATTTTTATAACCCCCTAACCTCTACAGACCGGTAATTTGCGGATAAATGATTATTCGTTTCTTCTGTAAAAGCGTGAAAGTCATTGACTCCGATTTTAGATATCGAACACCGACTTAGTTTTGTCTATCATTAATTGGTTTAAGGAGTTTTTCGAAAGAAAAAATAATGTTGATTTACGTCAATGGATAAAATAGAAAAAATAAACCACGAGCGAGTCGAATTCACGAACAGAGGGTTCCGTTTGAATTTTAAATTTTAAAAACCATACACTTGTTATCCCTTTTCCTGTAATCTATACAATTTACTTATATTACATTGCTATCTTTGTATCATTGATTTAAATATATGTTCCCAATTTCAATTCGAATAAAAGAACTTCGGACAAAATCGACTGTGACAGGCAGACAGACAACCCAAGTAGCACAAAACACCATTATATCAAACTTATAATAGCACGTGTCCAAGCGTTAAGCATTATAATAAAATCGTATATCAACCGTATTTCTTTTAAACGATTCTTATACGTAAAATTTGGGCCCCCCCTTTGTACGACTTTAAGCTTTATAAAAGCTGTGCAATAGCACTACAACTTTTGTATAATAGCATTAATTAAGTCGAGTAAAAGCATTCTAATAGCCACAAAAAGCACTTTAAGGTGCTAATTGAACTTTTTGTGACTATATTACAATTTATATGCGAAATCAAAATTATAATACGATAATTTAATGTTATAAAAATGCTAACTGTTTTATTTCCTTTGTAAAAAAAGTATATTTAATAGATTTTAAAAACATATAATCGGTTTAAATTATTGTTTTGTGTAAGTGTCACGACATGTTCTCTTGGCTGGTCTTTTAAGTATTTTTGAATATTGATTGAAACAGCTCGTTATATGTGAAATAAGCTGCAAACATCAATTTGTGGAGTAAAATATATAAGTTTATGGTGTAAAATACACGCGCCTTCGCAAACTTCCTTTAATATAATAAAAATAATAAACAATTTAACCTATTTTACCTTTTCATCTGATACAGTTGACTTTAAATATTTTGTAAGAAATGGAAAAAGAAAGCAAATGGCGACTCGTAAAATTAAAGCATTAGATATTCAAATATGGTGTAGTAGAGCTGTTCGTATTATGGTTAGACACAAAACTAAGAGCTCGTAATTCACTGTATCACACACTCCCATTTTAGGTACAGCCGTATTTTTACACTTCAGAAGTATCTTATAGTGCTAATAATCATCAAACGATTATTTCATTTTTATTTTGATTTTTAAAAGCTTCAATTAAATTATAATACTCTTTATTTTTCCCAACGTTTTTTGTCCATGGCGCCAGCGATGCATATAAAATGCCACCATTACAATACAATACATAAAATAATTT